CCCAGGGTCCTGGGATTGAGCCCCGCATCAGGCTCCCTGCTCAGCGGGAAGCCTGCTTCTCCCTCTCCCACTCCCCCTGCTTGTGTTCCCTCTCTCCCTCTCTGTCAGATAAATAAACAAAATCTTTAAAAAAAAAAAAAAAAAGAGAGAGAATCTTCCCTTTCCCTCCCTAGACCAAAAATGATTATGGAAAAGAGTTTAGTAGTGGATTAGAAGTTCATAAAGGATAGTCAAACTTTAAAGAAAAAATCTTAATTACAAAGGTGGTAATGAAGGGACAGCTGGGCACACCTTAAAGAAGTGACCTTGAGAAATGCTCTAAATCATTACTGACAAACAAGAGATGAACTCAATAGTTTGTACCTTAAATTCTCCTGCATTATCCTATAACATTCTATAGGAAACAAGGTAAAGGAAGATGAAATTGTGAACCAGAAAGCATCATTTGTTATTTTTATTTTTTTAACTATTATTTTTTTAAGTAGGCTCCACACCCAGCATGGAGCCCAATGAGGGGCCTGAACCCATGGCCCTGAGATCAAGACCTGAGCTGAGATCAAGAGGCAGACGCTCAACCGAATGAGTAACCCAGGAGCCCCTCTTTGTATTTTTAAATGCTACAATGGTGATACCAAGACCAAAGATGAGAGGAAACAATAACTAGAAAAGAATCTTTATATCAGGAGCTGCCTAGCTGAGCGGTAAGCCCTACTCATCACATTCTCTCTAAAAATCTGTTCTGCGGGGATGCCTGGGTGGCTCAGTTGGTTAAGTGTCTGCCTTCGGCTCAGGTCATGATCCCAGGGTCCTAGGATGGAGTCCTGCACTGGGTTCCTTGCTCAGCAGGGGGCCTTCTTCTTCCTCTGTCTCCGGTTCCCCCTGGTTGTGCTTTCTCTCTCTGACAAATAAATTAATAAAATCTTAAAAAAAAAAAAAAAATCTGTTCTGCTGTGTTTCATTAGTGTCTGCCCATGGCTACTGGATTTCAGGTTCTAGTTTTAATAAATTTTTTAAAAACGTCTTTATTTATTTGTTTGTTTGTTTGCAAGAGAGGGCGATAGCACAAGCAGGGGGAGGCACAGAGGGAGAAGCAGGCTCCCCACTGAGCAGGGAGTCCGATGCAGAGCCTGATCCCAGCACTCTGGGATCATGACCTGAGCCAATGGCAGCTGCCTAACCAACTGAGCCACCCAGGCACACCTAGTCAGTAAATAGTTTTAAAATTATTTGAAAATAAGATGAAATGATCAATGATCATTACCTTAAGTGCTTCTTCATACTCTCCTAAAAAGACAAAGAACATATACTGTGAGATTTCTTCACCAGCCCAAAAGATGCTATTTAAGTACAGCCAATCCTTACTTTTAAGAATTTTTTGCTTACAATCCTTTTACATGAACAGCTGCTACCTTTTTGCTGACAAACTCCCTTCCAATCCCACTGTAAATAGAAACTACTTGTAGATTAGTTCTCTCTCTTAAATTCCCCTTTCTGCTACTGGAGCCTTCCAGCTACTAAAACCTCAACCCAGCGGCCTCATACTAGGTTTAGGGAAGCTCAGGACTCAAGAGAGTTCATGGGTAGTGTTAATACAGGCAGGCCTCAAACATACTGCAGGTTTGGTTCCAGACCACAACAATAGTGACTATCGCAAAAAAGCAAGTCAAATGAATTTTTTTGTCTCCCAGTGAATATAAAAATTATGTTTATACTATCTGCAATCTATTAAGTGTGTAATAGCATTATGCCTAGAAAAAAAAAGTACATACCTTAATTTAAAAAAATACTTTATTGCTAAAAAATGCTAACCATCATCTGGGTGTTTAGCAGGCATAACTACTGATCACAGATCATCATAATATATATAATAACAATGAAAAAGTTTGAAATATTGAGAGAATTGTCAAAATGCGACACAGACACAGTGAGCAAATGCTGTTGGAAAAAGTGATGCAGGGTTGCCATAAATCTTCAATTTGTAAAAAAAAAAAAAAAAAAAAAATTAGAGCTGGTTAAAATAAGCTTTGGGGGGGCTAGCCTGGGAGCCTATTCTTCAAATAGAACATTGCTCCTGTGGGAAAAGGTGCTCTAAGCTCTGAACAACCAACCATCTTATAATTAAATTCTGGAATACCACTTTATATGTTTGTAAGTTGACAGTAATATATATACCAAGTCAGGGACAAAGGCAACACCAGGAGAATGGAGTTGTATGTGTTGAACTGGGAGGCATATTTTCAGAAGATTACCACCTTAAATATAAGAGAAGCTTCCATTAAAGCTGTCCTTAGGGTCCAGAGGCACTAATCTATATACAAAAAACTGCTACAAAATAAAAATCCGCTATGTAACTAATGCCGTTGGCTGAGTGAATGAGATGTCAATTTACTGTATACTAAATTCCACTCTAAAATAAATATTGCAGCAAGATCTGAGTGAAAGTGGAAGTGTATACACTCATGAATAGACTAAAGCTTTTAAATATGGCTGAACAGGTTCTCTCAGGAACTCACCTTGACTATTGATGGATACCTGTAAAAGGACAAAAGCAACAGTGAATATAAACTTCCTGTCAATTGAACATTTTTGTTACTAGGACCAGCCTCACAGGTAAGATGCACACTCTCAGACTGGGGGTCAGCTTTTCCATTATCATGAACTAATTGTGAATAATAATTAAGGACTTTTACTGCTTAACTCCTGTATCCTCCTTATATTTCAGGTACATTAAGAGGGAACATAATGCAGTGGTTAAGAGCCTGGGCTCTGGAGCCAGAAGGTAGGGAATGAACCCTTACTCTACTATTTCCAAGCTTTTGTGCTTCTGGGCAAGTTACTTAGCCTCTCTGGGCCTCAGTTTCCTTATGGGTAAAAGATAGATAGTAACATAACACCTCATACGTAGTAGTGTTGTTAGTCTGACGTGTAACCACTCAGTAAAAGTTTGCCATTATTTTTATTATTATAAACTAAATGGCAGCTTGTAAGGTATTTGAACTGTATCACTATATAGTTTTAAAAGTTATCTCTCAAATTTCCTTCTTCAATGTTGCTTATTTCTTAACTCCATCTCAGATGCCACTGTCGGCCCAGAACATGCAATTATCAAGTACATTTAAACCACTACACAATGAAAAAAACACTAGTCTGAACTTTTCAATCCGCCATCACTCTTGAGAAATTAGATCCCTATTCTGGATACCTGGCCATGGGTACCGTCATATACTTTACCTCTTCGTTTTCCTCATCCAGGTATTTTATTTGAATAGTGGTCAGATCAAATGAAACTTTTACCTGCAAATGAAATGTACATGCTATATGATCAAGATATCAAAAAGGCAGGTTGTAACAGAAACCTAGAAGTCAAAAGAAAGGATGGGCATATTTCATTACGTAAAAATTAAACATTTAAATGGCATAAAAGAAAAAAACCATGAATAAAGTCAGAAGACAAAGAATAGTGGGGGGTTTATTTACAACTCATAACAAAGGGTTATTATCTGCAATACACAAAGACCATCTGCAAAACTGCTAATTGTTAAGATTAACACAACCCAGGTAAAAAGGGGCAAAAATGTATAGAGATTTCATACAAGAGAGATCAGGTGTGCCCAACAGATAACATGAAAAGATGTTCAACCTTAATGGTAGTCAGAACAATGTAAATTTAAGCAATGACATGTCATCTCAACAGAATGGTGAAAAAATTTTAAAGCCATAATATCCACTGTTGTCAAAAATCCAGGGCATTGTCATACATTTCTTTTATTTTTTAAAGATTCTATTTGAGAGAGCACAAGCAGGGGTAGCGGCAGGCAGAGGGAGAAGCAGGTTCCCTACTGAGCAAGGAGCCTGATGTGGGACTTGATCCGAGGACCCTGGGATCATGACCTAAGGAGAAGGCAGGAGCTCTAAAGCCAGGTGCCCCCTGTCATACATTTCTATGAGGTGCTACAATCGTTCTGCAAAGAACCTGGCAGTATCTATTAAAATTTAAAATTATATGTATTGTTACCCATTAATCTCTCTTTGGGAAACTATCCTACAGAACAGTGCATAAGTTATAAAGACAAAGAGATCTCTCCTGTAGTTTATTATACAATGGTAAAAAGCAAAACAACAACAAAAAAACCCTTTTTTTTGAGGGCACTGAGTAAGTGAAATAACAACAATGAACTCATAGATACAGACAACACATTGGTGGTTGCCAGAGGCAGGGGTGGGAGGTAGATGAAATGGGTGAAGGTGGTCAAAGGTACAAACTTCAGTTATAAAACAAGTCCTGGGGATGGTAATGGTAAATACATTAATAATACTGTGCTGTATATCTGAAAATTGCTAAGACAGTAGATCTTAAAAGTTCTCATTACAAGAAAAAAATTGTAACTACGTGTGGTGACAGATGTTAGCTAGACTTATTGTGATCATTTTGCAATCTATACAAACAGAACTGTTATGCTGTACACCTGAAACCTATAGAATGTTATAGGGCAATTATACCTCAATTAAAAAAAAAAACTAGATACAATCTTTCAGTAAGAAATGGTTAAATTATGGGAGGACAACACCAAAATAATTGTAGACAATCCATAGCTTTAAAAAGGATGAGCTCAGATCCTTATCTATTGATTGAGAACTCTCTGTAATATACTGCTGGGGAAAAAGAGCACACTGCAGAATTATGTTTATAGTATGACCCTAGGACGAAATCTGTATGAACATGGAAAATGTGGATAAGTACATACAGAGCTGTTAACTCTGGTTATCCCAAAGAGGTGGGAATAGTGGATGGAAGGAGGAAGGAGTAGAAATATAGTAACTTTTTCTTTATATATATTTGGATTGTTTCACTTCTTATAATGGGCATGTATCACCCTTTTATAATTTAAAATTTACAATAAAGAAAAAAGTTCAACTCATTTAACTACTAGAAAAAGAACACTAACTGTGTTTAATTTTCAGATCATTTGACAAACAGACCCAACTTTCTCGATAACCACCTGTTTAGAACAGTATAAAATAACTGCTGGAAGACAGAAAACTAGATCAGATCATCTTGTTAAGTCTCCCCACCGTTTTTTTTTTCCTTTTTAGTTATCATACCACATAACCAAATAAAAGCAGGTTTTTACCAGAGTTTCGCTGGTTAAACAGAGTTGTGTAGGAAGTAAAACATTCACCACTGCAAACCAAACAAAAACAGAAGAGTACAAAGGGCAAACCAAGAGGAGGAAAGGCACCAACAACACAAAAACAGATGAGTACTTAAGCACCTGTGGGAGTTTTTCTGCTCAACTTTTTTTTTTGTCAGTAGGATCCAGGCCCAGTGTGGAGCCCAATGCAGGGCTCGAACTCACTACCCTGAGATCAAAACCTAAGCTGAGCTCAGGAGTCAGATGCTTAACCAGCTGAGCCACCCAGGTATCCCACTGCACAACTTTTAGATATTCAACCTCTGAGCTAGCAATAAAAACGATTAGCTTGCAAAACATAGGTTATATCCTTGGTGGTTCACAAACCACAGTAACATATCTGCTCTCAGGCAGAACATTTAGCTGGGGCCTGGTTAGGGTGGGGCCCACACCAATTCATTCCTCATGCTGTTTCTAAAATAAACAGTTTTTAGAAGTCCTAGCTGCAAATTAAAGAATTTGTTTGTACCCTGGGGGTGGTGATGGTGGTGCACATCTATATGAATACTGAACCCCTGTCAAAGATAATTTTCCAAAAGACCTAGAAAAGGCAAATATGATGGCTATGAAACAACACAGCTAAAAATAGCTACCTTTGAAAAAATTACGCTTAAAGGATGGAGAAAAAACTAACACTCACCATAGCTTCGACATCAGCCCAAGTTGTATTTTCTGGATCGGAAACCAGAAAGCTTTGAGTTTCATTTTCAAAAGTCACATTTAGAGTAACCTGTGGTTCCATGCTGTGGGGCTAGAGTTGAGAGGATAGGGGAGAGAGAACACACATTAGAGCCAGTTCTATAAACTGCATAAACAGGCATTCAACAAAAGCTTGTGAAGACCTAATCCGGGCTAGGCTGGGAAGATACCTCAGTGAATACAACAGTGTCTCTGCTCTTCTGCTATCTATCTATTTAAAAGATTTATTTATTTACCAGAGACAGAGAGAGCATGAGCAGGACAGGGAGAAGCAGGATCCCCACTGAGTGGGGAGCCCAATGTGGGGCCTGATCCCAGGACCCTGAGATCATGACCTGAGCCAAAGGCAGATGCTTAACCAACTGAGCCACCCAGGCACCCTCTTCTCCTATTTATACCCTGGTGGGTGGCTTAAAACAAACTCACTGTTTTGTACTATTTTTTTATTATGTTAATCTCCATACATTAGTTTTTGATGTAGTGTTCCAAGATTCACTGCGTATAACACCCAGTGCTCCATTCAGTAGGTGCCCTCTTTAATACCCATCACCACGCTAACCCATCCCCCCACCCCCTCCCCTCTAGACCTCCCAGTTTGTTTCTCAGTGTCCATAGTCTCTCATGGTTCGTCTCCCCCTCCGATTTCCTCCCCTTCATTTTTCCCTTCCTGCTATCTTATTCCTTTTTTTAACATGTAATTTTGTTTTTTAAAGATTTTTATTTATTTATTTACTTGAGAAAGAAACAGAGCAAGAGAGTGTGTGGGCGGGGAGCAGGAGGGGAGGAGCAGAGGGAGAGAGACAAGCAGTGGACTCTCTGCTGAGCACAGAGCCTGATGCGGGGCTTGATCCCAGGAGCCCAAGATCATGATCCAAGCCAAAACCAAGAGTTGGATGCTCGACCAACTGAGCCACCCAGGAGCCCCTTTGTGTGTGTGTGTGTGTGTTTTAAAGATTTATTTTAGAGAGAGAGTGCACGCAAGCAGGCAAGAGGCAGAGGAAGAGAAGCAGACCCCCCGCTGAGCGTGGAGCCCCACCAATCCCATGACCCCAAGACCATGACCTGAGCTGAAATCAAGAGTCAGAGGCCTACCCAGGTACCCCCAAATCTCACTGTTAAGTGCTTGTTGAGACCGTGTAAATTTTGGCCACACCCACAGAAATCATCTAACATTCGTAAAATCCTTTTGGATTTTATGGAACTTTATATGATTAGTTAATTCAATAGATACTACTGAATATCTGCTAGTAGCAGATATAGAATAAGACCCATAGGTCTCTAACCTCAGGGAATTTACATTCTCCTAATTTGAAAGTGACATTCTACATTTTTTTTCTTGGAAAAGCAGCCTTTTCCTAAATTTGAGCAACCCAGGTTCTCTGTTAGATCAGTTTTAACAATTTAGAGGACAAAATACTAGCCAAGAAACTACACAGGGGTAGCAGTCAACACCTTTCATTCAAGTTCATGTGTTTTTGTTTGTTTTACTTTTTTCTTTTATGGAGAATTTCATACATAAAAGTAGAGACTGATGGACGTATAATTAGAATAGAAAACTCAAGGCTACCCTCATTTCATCTATACTTCTGTATTGCCCCCACCCAATTCCCCCAATATGGATTGACAGTAGTCAACTGTTTTAACCTAACTACAGTAATCTAATTAAAAAAAAAAAAACTATTATGAGAAAATTTAAACATATACAAAAGAGAAGGATTAATATACAATGAACCCCTAAGGACCCATCAGCTATCTTCCATAATTATCATCAACACAGGGCTAATCTTATTATAGCAATACCTGTTCCCTATTGGATTATTCTGACAGCCATTACTTCATCCATAAAATTGAGCATGTAACACTTTAAAAAAAAAAAAAAGGCTTTTTGAAAACTGTAATACTATTATCATGTCTAAAAAGTTAACAATTCTGTAACTGAATGTCTACTCTGGTCAGTTTTTTTTTTTTTCTTTAAAAATTCTATTTTTAAGTGGTCTCTACACCCAACATGGGGCTTGAACCTAAAACCCCAAGATCAAGAGTTGCACATTCTATGGACTGAGCTGGTAAGGCGCCCCCTGGTCAGTTGTTTTTAATTAAGGATTTTATTCACCGATGAGTTGTTAGATTGGTTTATTCTTATGACTTTATGAAAAAAGTTTGTTAAAATCTAAACCTAAGTTGTAATGAAAAAGGTCATCTTTTAAACATATTCATCAACAAATCTATAAGAAATTTCTTCAAAGAACCAGATTCTGCCCTATGCACAGGAGGTAGGAGATGATTAAGACTAAGTCTCAGGAGTTTGCAGCATACCAGGGGAGGGAGCAAAAGGGTTGAGAAGAACTGGGCTCCAGACACAGCTCTGACACATTACTAGCCACGTAACGGTGAGCAAGTCGTTTAACCCCTAAGCTTCAGCTCCTTAATTTGAAAATAAGTCAAATAAAAATATGTGTGCAAGTTCTCTGAAAACGTTACTCAAATATAAAAATGATTACGATAAGTTAGTCTTTAGAAGCCAAAATGCACTGCCCTGTGAAACAATACAATTGAGGCCATCATTAAAAAGGACCTTGAGGGCGCCTGGGTGGCTCAGTTGGTTAAACGACTGCCTTCGGCTCAGGTCATGATCCTGGAGTCCCGGGATCGAGTCCCACATCGGGCTCCCGCTCAGCTGGGAGCCTGCTTCTCCCTCTGACCCTCTCCCCTCTCATGCTGTTTCTCTCTCTCTAATAAATAAATTAAAATCTTAAAAAAAAAAAAAAAAAAAAAAGGACCTTGAACTCTCTGAGGATCAGGGATTTTTTAAACCCAAAACAATTACCCTCCAATTTTTTCCATTCTTCATCTTTACCTAGAGCCAAGTTCACTACCAAAAAAATACTAGTTTCTAGCACCAACCTGCCGACATCTAATATTCATTTATATGGAATGCAATTCTTGGGGTCCTTAACATTTGGACAGAATTCCTGTCAACTCCCCAGATTCTTGGGCAAAAAATATCAGGGAAATGAAGTAACTGATTCAGTCAGCCAAAAAGTGGATATTCTGAAACACATTCTCACTTTTCAATTTCCGAGAAACTCGGAACTTCCACACTTTTGAGAATCTAGAAGGAAGGAAACTAATCTAACTCTCCTTTTCTCAAATTACACAATTAAAATTAGTTTAGTTACTTTGGAGCTCATCCAGCTGGTAGGCTGATGAGAGAAAACAGGAAGTGGGGGGATTCTAGCTGAGCTGGATCAAATCCAGGTCTTCATAAAGAATTGCCTATTTCTGTTTGGCTTTTATGTGAAAATTCTTTCAGCAAGAGCATTAATCTTGAACTTGTGGAAATACCAAAGCTATAGTTAGTACCATCTGTCCTTGTGGGTGTAAAGTCAGTAAAGTCAGATGGCTGGGGCCTAGGCCTTCAGCTTTCAAAACCGGCATTATTATAAGTTCACGCCACTGGCTCACCTCTGCTTGGCACAAATCAGTTTTTCCTCTATGTCAGTTTTTTCAGGAATACCAAAAATCCCGTTAATGAAGCAGACCTGGAAACCTGAGCTTTGATTACTGTCTCCGCCAAAGGCCTGACAAGCTATCCGGGGGTTAAAACGTGTGACCTATAGCTGGGTGTTTGACAAAAAGGAAACACGGTGTCTTTCCAATACCAGAGGTCCCTGACCAAGGAGACTTCTTATGAAGTTCTCAACAAGCGGAGAGGGATGAGGTTGGGAGGCTGTGCGAGCAGTGTCATTTTTTTTCCTTGCAGACTTTATCCTAGTCTTCCAGTTATCGTTTCCTAGCACTCCACGTCCCCAGGACAGTGTCACCACCCTTTGAGGACTCTCTCTCGTTTTCTCTGCCTAGGCCCCCTTTCTGCTAGGGAGTCTAAGCCACGGACCCTCCATCTCTCTCGCAGTATCTGCCCCCTCGGCCACTCGATCCGAAAGGCTCTCTCATACGGCCACTGACAAGACTGGCTGCCCCCCAGACACGAAAAAAGTAGCCCCTCTTTTTTTGCAGGATCCCTTCCTTAAACTTCCCCTAGCCCTCTCAGTGGCGATGTGCTCCCACCCGTCCGTAACCGCAACTGCTTCCTTACCAGCTCCCCGCCCCCGGGGGGCGCCTGCCGGAGGCCAGTGCAAGAACCGTTCCCTGCCAGCTCCGCAGCTATCCCTGCGGGGTGAGTCTAATATGGCGGATAGAAATAGGGCCTAGGCCCCAGTTTCTGAGTTTCCGACAAGGTGATTGGCTCTTACTAGTTGTCCCTCAAAACTACCATCCCACTGATTGGCCAGTCATGCGTGGCAGGGGCGGGGCAGGAGCTGCCAGAACACCACAACAATAACAAACACTGAGGCAAAGGGGCGGAACTACGAGTGCGCAGTCGTGGGTCAGAGTACACTTCCCCTTCCCAGGTAAATTCGGCGCCCTCCGCGTTCCCTTAGGTCACTGACCTTAGTGGACTCCTTGCCCGGGACTCGCGGGGCTAGATGGGAATTGTAGTCTTCCTGGGACTTGTAGGTTCTTTAGCCTATTCGCCGCTCTCAAGATATGAAAACCTAACACTCCAATCCATATCTATTGACGTGCGTAAGCGCACCGACCTCCTCAAACTATCAACTGGCTTGCCGTGAGAATCGCGCCGGCTTCCGGTGTCGGAATCGCCGCTCCATAAGACTACAGTTTCCAAGGAACACTGTGGCGAAGGCCTTTCGATCCGCAATGCATGCTGGAAATCGTAGTTTTTCCCACACAATCTTTTTATTTACCGAAACTGGAGACTTCCATTGAGGCGGAAATGGTGAGGAAACAGGGCCCCTTTTTGCGACTGTTTCAGGCACTATCTTGCGCTCATATTCGGGCCTCAGGTAGTGATTACGGCCCTAGTCCAGCAAATTCTGTGACGTAATAAGCCGTAAGTGGAAGCGTAGAGGTGAGGGGGCAGGGACCTAATAGAAAAGTCCGGGAGAATTCTTTCTCTTCCGTCCCTTTCTAATTACGTAACGCGGGGAAAGAATGGATGACCAATCGGGAGCCGGGAGAGACTCTCGGCTCTTTCTGCTCCGCCCCTCCGTAACGTGTTTCGATCTCGTATTCTGTGAGGTTCGCGCTCAGTGGCTGCGGCCGGTTTCCCTGGCAACAGGAAAGCGCGGGAATTACAGATAAATTGAAAGTGCGACTACGCGACGTGAGCTCGTTAAGGCTTTCTGGATTGAGGGCTGTCCGGGGAGTTTTTCAGGGAAGTGGGCCCCTGGACCCGGGAAGCCCGGACGCTTTGCTCTGGGTGAAGGTGAGAGAGCCCGCGGGAAGGGAGAGGGTCCAAGGGGTGCTCCGAGGGACAGGAAACAGGTATAGACTGTGGGAGAGCAAGATGGGTGTTATCTGGCAGGGACCGGCAGAGGATGGAACCTGAAAAGACCTAAGACGTTGAGTCTGGGGAAATTGTGGGGACGGGGGCACTTTGTGGGTCTCGGGGCAGGGGAGGCGCTGAGGATAAGGGAGGAGGGCAGGGTGTGTCCGAGGGGGAATCCTGATGGCAGGAACTGGAATGTGTCCTGAGGGGAGCATCATAGTAGTCTTTTTAAGACCGGCTGGTATGTGTGAGAAGGAGATCCTGAGGAAGGAAAGGGGCTAGGAATGTGTCTGAGAATAGGAGAATGCTGGATTTTGTTGGAGGGAGAGCCCTTAAAAAAGAACTGGCTTCATATGCGTTTCTGAGAAGGGACAAGAAGAAAGTAGAGGGGCGTCAGTAGTTACAGATGCTATTGGCTTGGACGTGCCTAAAGAGGATCCTGAGATGAATGCTGACTAGTGGGAAACACTGGGGAAGAGCAGGGGTGGGGAGCGTTGGTTTTGTTTTTGTTGAGGCTAGTTTTCAGCAAGAAAAAGAAAAGAGCCAGAATGATTGGAGAAATATGAGGCTACCATCACTCACCCAGTCACCCCACTGTGGCTTTCTTTTTCTTGGAGAGAGGAAAAGACTAAAAGTGGTTGGAGGCTTTATGTGGAAAAAAAATACGGAATTTAAATGGTCTTAATTACAAAAAAACCCAGCTTTTCAAATTAAAAAAAAATAAAGCTTTTGTCATTAATTCTATGATTGGTATAATTTTAAAGCACTCCAATCTTAAATTTCTTATTTAAAAATGACATTTAATGAAACTAGGCTATTCTTACAAACCTTTCAAAGTAACCTGTGTGTATGCATACAAATATACATATATATATTTAAGCTCATGCCTTAAAATTCATTGGAACAGGAAGAAATGGATTTACCTGCGGATCGTGTTGAAGAAGTACAAAATGTCCTTAATGCTATGCAGAAAATCTTAGAGTGTCCAATCTGGTAAGTTGACAGAAGAGTTTATTAATTTGAGATTCTTCTTTACTTGATTATATCCTATGCAAATAAGTAGAATTGACTTTGCATATATGAAGAAGAAAAAGTTATAATAACTATTAAGATTAGACTATTAAAGTTGCTGCTTGGGGCGCCTGGGTGGCTCAGTCGTTAAGCATCTGCCTTTGGCTCAGGTCATGATCCCAGGGTTTTGGAATCGAGCCCCACATCGGGCTTCTTGCACCACGGGAAGCCTGCTTCTCCCTCTCCCACTCGCCCTGCTTGTGTTCCCTCTCTCACTGTGTCTCTCTCTGTCAAATAAATAAATAAAATCTTTTTAAAAAATAAATAAAGTTGCTGCTTTTCTTAATCAAGAGCTTTGGGAATGTAGGAAATTACTCCCTTTTTCTCCACTCTGCCTCTCCCCTTTCCTTTTTACTCCCTTAACATATTCAGCCCCCCTAGCTTTCCTAGCTCACAGACTGTCTTGATTGATTCTACTTTGCCGCAGAGATCTGGTTTGGAGTAACTGATCTTTTCATCCAAGCTCTAAAAACAGCTCAATCACTTGGAATGGGCATAGTTAATAGTGGAAAAATAAAATCACAAATAATTTGTGCATGTGTGTGGTTAGGTCTTTGGTTGAACTAGCCCTGTATATTTAAATAAGAGTACTTGGGTGGGTGGGCGCCTGGGTGGCTCAGTTGGTTTAGCATCTGCCTCCCACTCAGGTCATGATCCTGGGGTCCTGGGATCAAGCCCCAAGTTGGGCTTCCTGCTCATTGGGGAGTCTGCTTTTCCCTCTCCCTCTGCCCCTCCCTCCACTGGTGTTCTCTCTCTCTCTCTCTCTCAAATAAATCTTAAAAAAAAAAAAAAATCTTTAAAAAAATAAATAAAAATACTGGGGCACCTGGCTGGCTCAGTTGGCAGAGCATGTGACTCTTGATCTCAGGGTTGTGAGTTTGAGCCCCGTATTGGGTGTAGAGATCTCTTAAAAATAAAATCTTAAAAAAGGAATACTGCAATTCATCAAAGCCTTTGGCAAGTCTCTGACTTTTTGAGTGAGCCTTTGTTTTTCTTCATCTATAAAGAGGGGGCTAGAATAGTCAAGTTTTTTTGTTGTTGTTCTTTTTTTTAAGATTTTTTTATTTATTTGATAGAGAGAAAGTGAGAGCACAAGCCGGGAGACAGGGAGAGGGAGAAACAGGCTCTCCACTGAGCAGGGAGCCCGATGCGGGGCTTGATCCCAGGACCTTGGGATCATGACCTGAGCTGAAGGTAGCCGCTAAACTGACTAAGCCACTCAGGTGCCCCTCAAGGTTTTTTGTTGTTTTTTTTTTTTTAAATCCTTGAGGCATAATTTGCGTACAGTGAAATGCATAGACCTTAAGTGTGCAAGTCAATGAGTTTTGACAAGTGTATATATATATCTGTGTAAACCAGTCAAGATATATAACAGTTTTATCACCCCAGGAAGTTCTCATTCAGGAGCTCTTAATTTGCTGACCCTCCTTGACCCTTGGAGGCCTATGGCTAGAACTTTATTTCAATATAATTAGTTTCTTTTGTTTTTTTTTAAGATTTTATTCATTTATTTGACAGAGAGACACACAGCGAGAGAGGAACACAAGCAGGGGGAGTGGGAGAGGGAGAAGCAGGCTTCCCACTGAGCAGGGAGCCCTATGTGGGGCTCGATCCCAACACCCTGGGATCATGACCTGAGCCGAAGGCAGACGCTTAACAACTGAGCCACCCAGGCGCCCCAATATAGTTAGTTTCTTGTATAATTTTATATTTTTTATTTTATGCACTTCAAAGCATTACTCTGAGAAGGGTGTTTATGGGCTTCACCAGCTGCCAAAGGGAGTCTGTGGCACAACAAAGGTTATGAACCTCAAGTAGTCACTAGGTGATATCTATGGCGTTTGCTAAATCTACAAAATAATTAAAAACTATACCTCAATGTCTTGGTGAAAAGCCAGAAAGGAACCTTAGAAGAATTGTTGCCTATCCTCTTCCATCTTATTCATTTTACTCTGGTCAATCTGGCCTCTTGGGTTTTTTTGTTTTTTTGTTTTTAAGTAGGCTCCACACCCAGCATGGAGCCCAGTACCGGGCTTTAACTCACAACCCTGAGATCAAGACCTGAGCTGAGGGGCGCCTGGGTGGCTCAGTCGTAAAGCATCTGCCTTTGGCTCAGGTCATGGTTCCAGGGTCCTGGGATCGAGCCCCGCATCGGGCTCCCTGCTCCCTGGGAAGCCTGCTTCTCCCACTCCCCGTGCTTGTGTTCCCTCTCTTGCTGTGTCTCTCTCTGTCAAATAAATAAAATCTTTGAAAAAGAAAAAAAAGCTGAGATCAAGGGTTGGGATGCTGGGCGCCTGGGTGGCTGAGTCAGTTAAGTGGCTGCCTTCAGCTCAGGTCATGATGATCAAGGTCCTGGGATCAAGTCCCACATCAGGTTCCTTGCTCAGTGGGGAATCTGCTTCTCTCTCTCCCTCTGCTTCTTCCCCCCCACCCCTTCTCATGCTCTCTCTCTCTCAAATAAATACATAAAATCTTAAAAAAAAAAAGAGTTGGATGCTTACCTGACTGAGCCACCCAGGCACCCTCGGTCATTCTGGCCTCTTAATTCTTCTTCAGACATACAACGTATTCTCCTGCCTCTGAGCTTTTATGCTTGCTGTTCCCTCTGCCTGGAATGTTCTACCCCTGATAATTGCATGGCTTACAGATCTTGATTAAAATACCGCCTTTTCAAGGAGGCATTTCCAGACAACCCTATTTAAAATGATAACACCATTACCCCCAACACACTCTTTATTTCCCTTTCCTGTTTTTTTTTCCCCATAGGTCTTATTAC